GTAAGTGGGCAAGCAAGTTTTGACACCACCATCTTTGCCGATTTTTCATTATTTTTCGGCTTCACAGAATGCCCTCAAAATGAACAGGCAGGTAGCTTACATAACAAAGAACTCACAAAAAAAAATTCAGGAAAAAATGATAATCTTTAGGTACCAAACTATTTTTTTGCGGGGTCCGAACCCCTTCGAGTTCGGGCCCCGTACGGGGACCCGAACGCCCGAACGTTCGGGGGTCAGCTCAGGGGCCTCCGTACGTTCGGCCTGGCAACCCTGTATAAGATATAAATCTATAGCAATATATTAATATATTAATTATAGAATAATAAAGTCTAAATAATCAGATAATATTCGATGCTATTGAGTATATATATGACGATATATGACGATATATATATATATATATATATTATCGGGCAGTTCTGTTTGTGACGATATATATATATATATATATATCTGTTTGTGACGATATATATATATATAAATATATATATATATTTCTGGACGGTTTTTTGGCCCGCCTGGTTTACCCGGGCGGCCCCCCCGGGCCCAACCGGTCGGGCGGCGTCCTCACTCAGATTTTTTTTATGACTTTTTTGTTGTTTTTTCCTGTATGGGGGCGTACAAGTCGTACGGGTTCCCGTACAGATATTACCTGTACGCTTCATACGGAAAGGCCGCGTACATTCAAAATTTGAAATGCTGGCCAGCAGCTGGGCAGTTGGACTAGGGGACTGCAGGAGCGGAGCAGTGCGTGATTGTCTGCAGTGGTTGGCGACTTCAGGTGAACTCAAGGCGACCTCACGTGGCGACGGGAGCCCTGAGTGCAATAGTTTTCCAAAATCCAACCCTAAGTACTACCCTGATAGATGATCTGATGGTTTAGGATTTCTGATTGGTGAAACCCTAGTTCTGTTGCCTGATTTTGTTTGTAAATTAGAATTTAGTCGGCCTTCTGATATCTCCCTGGATGGTGATGAATTGAATCGCTGTTTTCTGTTCCAACTTCCAACATATGATGGATCTGTAATCGGATTTTTGTTTGATTCTCAATTTGTAATTCCCTATTGAATTTTTTGATCTACGATCAAAGTTTATAATCGATTGCTTTGTTCATGTTCTTCGCATATTGTGGTATGGTGTGTGTTCATTAATCGGATTTTCCGATCCCCAATGTATGACTCTTCAACAGAGTGTCTTCGCAATATTTATGTATTCATGATTTTCCAAAAAGACCTCTCAATACTTATGTGCATACTTGCGGCGCATCTCATGCGCGGGGGCGCGGCACATGCGGCGCAAAGCGCACGCGCATGAGATGTGATGCGGCGCATCAAAAAAAAAAAAAAAAAAAAAAAAAAAAAAAGTTCAGAGTGGGGTGGCCAAGCACTCACCTCACTTCTAAAAACTAAAAAGCAAGAGGGAGAAAAGTCCGGGCCACGCGATACCCCGAAACTGTTGGCACTCGTCTATACATGCGAGTATTCATTTCCTAATTGTGTCCAGCCTCTTTTTCGAAGGGCCCTTATAGCGAATTAGCTAGGACCCTACGTGCAGCTGAGGCGAAGTTCAAACTTCCAGTCACCAGCGTGAGCAGAGAATATATACTCTGGATTCGAATTCAGGGATGTGCATCTCGGATTCTCGGTTATGGGTCACTATTTCTTTTGTTTTCCAATTTTCCTTTTCTCAGGAATACGTGCAGTGGCCCTAAGAGCCGTTACTCACCACATACACAAAAGACAAAACATATGGTGGTGTATTATTCCACGTTCTGCGGTAGATTCTTTCTAATTTTGCAAATTTGCTCACTATTTCTTTTCTTTTCAAGTTTTCGTTTTCTTAGGAATATGTGCATTGGCCCTAAGGGCCGTTACTCACCTCATACACAAAAGACAAAACATATGGCGGTGTATTATTCCACATTCTGCGGTAGATTCTTTCTAAGTTTGCAAATTTGCACATTACGTGAGTAGTGCAGCCAAGCCCTGAGAAGCACGTGCAGACTCTGCAGACGAACACTGCCTAGCTACGTGAGCAACACATAACTGCTGAGACACAGACCTGAACTTCAATCCTGAGGATATATTGGGCCAGCTCGTGCTCTACTTCATACTCACTACCGGCCTCGATTTTGATGAAGGGTCTGCAGTTTAGTGCTGCGAGGACCCTCTAGATTGCCTGCATGGGCCATTTGAGCCGTGCTAACGGGATCTGCCCTCTCTCTCTCTCTCTCTCTCTCTCTCTCTCTCTCTCTCTCTCTCTCTCTCTCTCTCTCTCTCTCTCTCTCTCTCTCTCTCTCTCTCTCTCTCTCTCTCTCTCATCAAAATTTGTGCATGGCGCATGGCGCATGCGTACCGCACGGCGCACCGCAGAGGTGCGCCGCAAGTATGCTTATGTGCGATGGACGTTTGTAAATTGGATTCCTCTGGTCTATACGTCATGGTTTTCAAAAGGTGCAAGATTCTTAATTAGCATACTCTCAATTTGTTGTTCATAATTGATCTTGAAGTGGCATCTTCCAATTCAAATCTTCAGATTTCTATTTGGTAGAAGCTGAACGCGCAACGAATAGGGGTGGAGGTTTTTTTCGGGGATTCAAGACGACGACTGGGATTATCTTCTTCGGGTCGGAGCTGTTTCCTGCGGGTTACACGAGGTGGGAGGTGTATCCTTGAAGGGAAGGGGCGGAATTGAGGATTGTCGTCTTCTGGGGCCGGCCTGATCCTTGGGGTCAGATCAGCTATGGCGGTTGGGTCAGAGAGGACAAGGGGTGCTGTTTTAGCAGGTGAGAGACTAAGTGGGCTGTTCTACTAGGAAGGGGTGGGACAGGAGGCAGCTTTGTGGGGGCATACTCTAGGGGGTATTGGGAGCAGCGGTCTTCATAAGGGGGCTGTTCTGAACTGAGGCCGATGAGGAGAAGGGGGCTCCTCTGGGCGGAGGCAGTGTGGGGACAGGGGTTAGTTTTTTTGAGGGGAGGAAGTAGTTCTGGGGGTTGTCCTGAGTCCTAATGTGAATTGAGTTCTTGTCCTTCACTGGATCTACCATAAGGAGAGAGGATGGTTTTTCCCTCCCTTTTTCTCAGCTCCAGGGGGTGAAGGTGTTGGAGTAGGCTCTGACATCTCTGTTGGTTGTGCAATTTGAATTTCCTATAAATTCCAAAAAAAATATCAAAAGCTTTGCGCTGATTGGGGTGGATTACACTGGTCGAGAGGGTGGGGATTCTGCATGGTTGGATACAACGTGTCTTACTGGTGAAGGGGGCTAGCTACCGCCTTCACCCGAATGCAAGGTACGGTCATTATAGCCGTATTTGGGGCAACTTTGAGTCTAGATACAGCAATAATGACCGTACCTTGTATCCAGGTGAAGACGGTAGTAGGACGAAATAGGGCACAGCGGCGGTGGAGATGGTGGCTCCATTGTGGTAAGTCTTGCCGGAGTGGGGTTAGGGATAGATGGATGTTTCCAGTGGAGAATCACAATCAGTGCATGAGGGAGTTGGAGGTCTTGGAACTGCAGCTATGGTGGTGATAGGCGGTTCGCTCGATGTTCTGCTGACGAGGCCAGAACAACGCTGGTCGGCGCTGGGGCTTGGTTGCGCTGCCCTGTAACCCCAGTTATGCGGGGGTATGAGGCCTGGTAGAGAAACCTGGGGAGTTGTCGAGGGTGGAAGGCACTCCAGTGTCCATTGGCGAGCTGGTACATAGACGACGCTGGCCGCAGCCGGGGCGGGTGTAACCAAGCGTGGGGGATTGTTCTGGAGTGGGTCACGCCGCTCGGTAACCTAGCAGTGGGGGTGTGAGGCCTGGTAGAGACTAGGTATCGAGGATATGACGGCTGACGCAGGCTGAGGTGGGGCTGTTAAGGTAGTTTGTTCTCTGGCCGAAAACTCTCAGGGGATAGTGATGAGGACCTAGTTCTCATAGTTCCTTCGAATTGTAGCCAGAAAAGAGACTTCTCATTTTTCTTCTGAACTTTAGCCTATTTCATGAGGCCCTTTGTTGAATAGGCTACCGTAGTAATTGCTCATGACCCTTAGAAAAGGTGTAATTGCTATTCTCAGCAGAAGCCGGGTAATGGCCCTGGTATCTCATTTTCGTTCTGTAATAACCTGTATATGTTTTCACAAGTGGTTTCAAATGGGACGCTGGGCCCGGTTCCCAGCACGTGTTGCTCACCACGAATAGATTGGAGCATTGTTCCATTAAAAAAAAAAAAAAAAAAAAAAGGATGATAAAAGAGGAGTTGCCTTGGTGATATTTAGTTATTTTAACAGGGTTTTGCACTGGCATGGGAAGTGATATTTGGTTTTCTTTTTTTTTTTTTCCTCCCTTTTTTTCATGACAAATTGTCTGATAAACAGGTAAACTCAGTTCAAATCCTGGATTGTTCAAAACTTCAAAAGGGCTCCTTCCCCATCTCTTTCTAGTAGTTTCTACCCTCTCCCCCATGTGCGTGCCGCGGCGGTGTATCCGCAGCTGGCCTCCGCTTGTTGCTTTAAATCTTTAAATCGAAAATTGTATGTGTGATCATCGTAATACCTATCAGCTGTCAGATCTAATGTCTGTTTTCGTTATCTGTTTTGGTAACCTTGCTATTCAGACCTGTCCTCCTGTCGAAGGTGGAGAAGTCGTGGGGGGAGCTGCGACGATATAAGGGAATCCGAACGGATGCAGAGGGCCGGAGCGTCGTGAGTGGATTACAGTTAGGAAATATCTGGTGAGATTGAGATCCCTACAAGTCTTGTTTTTGCTTTTTTTTTCTTTCTTCATTTGTCCTTTATTTGGTGAGATTGAGATCCCGACGAGTCTTTTTTTTTTTTTTTTTAATAAAGAAAAAGTATATTAATTGCTTGAAAATCGTGGCCGGGGATCTCACAAGTCGACCCAGAGTAATCTTGGCAGCATTAGCCAGTTTCGCTTATGATCAAGATCTGCCCGTCTTCCTACCGTGGAATAGAACGCATATGCGTTGTACTCGAATATACCAGCTGTTCGAATAGAACGCATATGTGTTGTACTCGAATATGCCAGCTGTTCGAATAGAACGCATATGTGTTGTACTCGAATATACCAGCTGTTCGAATAGAACGCATATGTGTTGTACTCGAATATATCAGCTGTCCGAATAGAANTCGAATATACCAGCTGTTCGAATAGAACGCATATGTGTTGTACTCGAATATATCAGCTGTCCGAATAGAACGCATATGTGTTGTACTCGAATATAGCAGCTGTTCGAATAGAACGTATATATGTGTTTTACTCGAATATACCAGCTGTTCGAATAGAACACATATGTGTTGTGTCGTCGTGCTACCCTATTCCTGTGCGTCTCCCTTGAAAACTCCTAGTCTCCTCTCAGCCCTCACAGCTGAGATCCCGATTGTGCTTTCTCCACATACCAAAGTTCTTTTTGCAGCAATGAAAGCTATGTCTTTTTTTTTTTGGGGGGGGGAAAGAAGCTATTTTTGCCCTGCAACACTGTCATTATTGTAGTACCAGGCTGCCAGTCCCTTGTGTCTACCAGCCAACCTGCAGCCACATGGCTACCAGCAGCAGGTTGGGGTGGGCACAAGCTGCTGGGGGCAGTGGTGGTTTATAAGGTATTGACTATCTTGGAAAATTTTGGCTTGGTGAGTTTCAGTGGGGGAGGGGGAGTAAATGGCGAGGGCCGGGGAGTAGGGGAG